TATTTACCTTTACTTTGCAATATCTGATTTGGCTTTAAGCTCTAGAGCCTTAAGAAAGCTTCAGAGCAAACATGGCCATAAACAGTTACTTCAGGAAAGGAGGGGAAGATGGTGGTGGGATGTTTGCTTTGGGGTTTTTATCCAGTTTCTCTATTTCTGCAGAAAAGTTATTACATTTCTGGACAGATATAATTCAGTTTCTCTATTGTATGAGTGAGTGTGGAGATGAGGAATGCAGTCAAAGTTCACTCACTGGAGGACCAACACCAATATTCAATTTCAAGGAAAGCAAGAAAAATAAAGGGACTGTTCCTCTGTTTGTGGAGCAACTCTGGACATGATCTGAAACCATTAGCATAGAAACCCAACACTATCATTGAAACAGGGCTTACTACATAATTCAGGTGTTAGATGGCACAGACAAAACTAAGTCATAACATTTTAGTAGAAATATCTTTTAAAACTCATTAAAACTCTTCCTGTCTTCATCATTATATATTTTATATTCGTAGCGAAATTTACAATCCCAGTGAGAAAAGAAGATCTATTTTCATTTCAAAAAAAGCATCACAGCACTGCAAGATCAATTTGAAAATAATCAATATTTTTCATGGGGTTTGTTGAACACCTCTGGAATTGTGCCAAAATGCTACATATATTGCACAAACATAGCTTTTCTTAAAACACTAGTGTTGACAAATCTGCTAAAATAAATATTGGAATCTAGAACTAAATTCCCTCTTCTGCTGTCTCTTCAGACAAACAGAGATTAAGAACATCAGAATTATCCTCTTTTCTCACATCTCACCCTTCAGAGGAAGTAAAGGCAGTTTTCTAGCACTATCTTCCATAAGGCAGAGTTACAGTGCAGATCACTAAAGCTGAATGAATGGGATGACCAGGAAAAAGAAGGCAATGATGGAGTTGTGTACTAATTAGGACTCTCTTTTCATGTGTCATATTTGTCAAAATGAACAACCAAGTCCAGTCTGGCTCTTTTACTGCTTATTCTGCTTGTCTTTCACCTTCACTCATGTAATTGTCATAGAATCAGAGATTGTTAGGGCTGGAAGGGACCTTAAAGATCACCTCATTCCAACCCCCTGCCAGAGGCAGGGACACCTTCCACGAGGCTGCTCAGAGCAATCATGTTCTGAACTTGTTTGAGACCTTTCAGAACAAAGGGGAAGAAAATGTTCTCAGTGTGCAGAGCTCCTTATTTCTCACTCCACAGAAAAGATTTGTATTCACTGTATCTTGCTATCCACCATCAACTGGGAAGCATTACAGCTTCTATACACATCAACCATTACAGCTTCTACACACTTCTGTGTTCTGTACTCCTTCATGGATTTGTTTTCTCAAAGATAGAATTTGACCTCACATAAGAAATCATTTATTTCATGGGAAAGAACTATTCATCCACATATCAAAAATTACTGTGCTGCTTGCACAGTATTTGTGACAACGTTAAGTTGCAACCAGGGACAGTATAAAGTGAATTGGAACATATTTTGAAGCAATAAAACAAATACAGCTTTGGCTTAGCAGAAGGCATATGAAAATATAAGCCCTCCAAACTGTTTCTAAATCAAGAGATACATTTTGAACCAATTAGGGTAAATTTTAGAACGGTAATTCTATGCTGATCTCTTCATGAAGGCAGAGCGTGAGTTCCCTCTTCATATTCAATCTGGTAACTGTTACTTGCAATAAATTCCATAATCACTAAGAAGTTATACATTATATATTCTATGCTGTAACACAGATTCCAGGAAGAAAAGAAACCAGCAGAAGCCAGAGCAAAAGCAACCTGTCAGCTTTCTTTTACTTCTTTATTTGTACACAAGCTGACAGATGGGCCCTGATTATTCTGTCATTAGATCCCACAACTACAACAAACACTTCACAAAGCTTTGACTACGTGCACACCCATCTCTGCTTTCATCAAGTATGGAAAGGTATTTTTCTTTCTAGCATAGGAGTTGGATATAAAATATAGCACTTTAGTTCCCCAGCACTAGCAGTAAACTACTACAGAAACAGAAAAGACTGCAAAGATTTCTTCCAAGTTCATTATTAACACTTGAATAATTCTCTATGGAAAAAAAGATCATCCATGTGTATTTCTTCCTATTCATTATAGGTTTACACATCTTTTGAAACCACAAAAACCAGCTGCAGATAATTAGACTTTCTCTTAATTCAAGCAGCCTATTTCATGTTGGTTAGGGTAAGGTTAGGTTTGACATTATGCTGCAATTTAACAAACCCATTTTATAAGAACATACAGTTCTCACTTTCTAAACACTCAAAAAAATGATGAAACATTCAAGAAACATATTTTTAATATTATAAATATCTAAAATGAGAAACATGAATAAAAACCTTCAGGATTAAATTCTTGATGTTGAAGGAAAGGGTTTCATCATCATCAAAACTTCAGTGAAATGAAAAATTCTATTAGGGTCAGGTTTTTATTTGGACTGAACTGTACCTCAGACACCACATTATCCAAGTGATCTGAAGGTTTTGCTCATACTAGGAAGGATATGAGTCCATAGGAAAAGCACAGTAGATAACTAACAGTTAGAGAACACCTTTGGCCATTAAAAGGACTGGTAAAAACAATCTACTACATCAATATCTCCTGTACTACAGAAGGATGGGGGTGAGAAATAGAAAATATTGACTTTTTTACTCTAAAGAATCAGTTAAAGCAATGTAACCTAACTATTTGAGGCAAAACAAGGTTATGCCCATCTCAGAGCAGGATTATCTCTAAGAGGCTCTGGCCCTGATCACAAGATTCTTTCTCAGGGCATTAAGCAACTCTGTTACCTTATTCCATTTTCATAACATCCTTTTCAGTGCATTTCTACACACAGTCTCTCAAGTAATGAAACTGGAATTCTTGTTGAACACTCCCTACTGCATATTTACCTGATCATTTGTAATGGATCCAAATGTCCTTTTCGGAGCTGTTTTGGGCTGTCATGTAAATAAAAAATTAGAAAGTTGTTTAAAAATTGTAACATTTACGTGGTTTCATAAATACATAGTCAACAACACATGGACACATAAGCTAGAAGAGCTTCTAGTACTACAGACAGGACTACATGTGACAAAGGGCACCTAAAGCCTGCACACAGATATTGCAGTATCACAGGATTTTGTTAAATCTGTGTGGTACTGACTACCTGGACCGTGCTGAGAAGAAAGGGACAAAGACCAGCTCCTGGTTAATGTGGATAACAGTGACATGGTCTGTTGTGTTCAGTACATCTTATCAGCTTAAACGTACAGAACGGTACCTTCTACAGAAGGTAGAACATAGTCGTTTTGCAAAGAAATAGGGAAGGGAAAGAATATTTTGCCAAATAACCCTATAAAAATGACTGTTTGTGGTACCAAGTACTCTGAAATTAAGACAGACTAGCAGTGATTGTTTCTTAAAAGATACAAATGATGTAATTGCATATGACAACTATACATTGTTAACTGACAAAGAGTAGATGAACACTGTCCTCAATCTCCATTCCAGAAGAGCTTCTGAATGTTTAGAGAAAGCCACAGGAACAAAGACAGCTCATTGTTCTGTGTCTACAGCTTCACACTATACTTAGCATCAATACTTATCTTCATGCACTGCAAATGACAAACACAATGTATGATGTATGTCTTTAGTTCAACTGGATCTTATAAGTCAAGGGCTGCACAACATCGTATCTCAAACTTTCCCTAGTGTTCTACAGTAACTCATTTCAATGAATGCTGCAACAAGCCAGAAGTACACATGCATTGCATGTCAACAAGCTTCTTGAAAGGAAAAAAGGAAAAAAAAGATGAAAATATCAGTTTCTCATTAGAAACTAAATCAGTAATTCATTAAAGCTATTATTGAACAAAAAAACCTTTGGCTGAAACGTAACCTTGTGTCCAAAGGACTCTAAGTATCATTTCAGAAAGACCACAAAATCATGCATGTTGGTTAACTGCTAATTATTTCAGATGTAGCAACACAGAAAACCTTTGCAGGACATTTTTTTTGCCTGTTTTTGCAAAGGCATTTGGAACTGCTCTGTAACTGTGCTGCTACATTAGCAAAGAGTATAGCAGCAAGATTTCAATTCCTAATGTAGAAAACCAGACAAGAGTTATATCACAGGCAGCATTTTAATAAAAGCTGAAAATTAAACTTGCATTTTTCTTTCAAAGGTAATGCTTTGGATGGGAAATCATGAATTCCCAAGGCCAAGTTAAAGCCTTAAACACAGAATATTCTGATAGGCAATAATGGATCTATGTTTCTATAATGGGTGCAGATTAATATACTCGGATCTAAACTATCCCAAGTGCTGTGGCTCTAATAAAGGTCCCTTGTCTGCTATCACTTTACACTGTGCAATTTACTGTTGGTGCATTCTAGAAGATTACCATTTGTTGGACAGCTGTCCTGCTTGAAGACTCCACAGTCACTGCTCTCATCACATCCCACAGCTTACAACCCAAAGTTACTCAAGCTATGTGTTATTAGTGCTGACAGTTACCTTATGAACCGAGTGGCAGAACCACAGAGGAGAAAGGAAAATGACAAAGGTGAGAAATCATAGAAACATAGAATTTTAGGGGTTGGAATGGACTTTATAGATCATCTAGTCCCAACCCCCTGCCCTGGGCAGGGACACCTCCCACCAGAGCAGGTTGCTCAAGGCTTATCTAACCTGGATTTGAACATGGCCAGGCTTGGGGAATCCACTACCTCCCTCGACAGCCTGTTCCAGCATCTCACCACTCTCACAGTAATAAACTTTTTGTAGCAAACCTCAGCAGATGCAAAGTTGCTTACATGTTTCAAACACTAACTGTTTGTCAAAGCATCTACAGCCTTTTCATTTGTAGGCCAAGATTCCTATGAATTTTGTTCATTTTATGGTTTTCTGTCAGGATCATGAACTGTTTCAACTGGTTTCCTTTGAAGCAAGCAAAAGCTTAGCTTGGAACAAAATGAACTTGCAGGCTCAAACCCACAGTAAAAACAGGAATTGGAAGCTTCCAATTAAGCATAAACCTAAAGTGCATTTTGTGCATCCAGAATCCTAATTAGCTCCATTCCTATGCAAAAGTTAAGGACATCATATTATTAGCAACGTCTATACCAGAACTTGCCACTTTTCCACCTCCAATTACATAAGAGCTTCTATAAATGGGAAGCAGTGCCGAAGATTTCCTCTCCATACACACAACCACACACAAAACCTCACTTGTCCTATCAAGCAGGCACCAAGCAAAATGCTGTAGATGGGATCAATAGAACATAGGGATAATAATGAACTGTTTCATGCTGGAAAGGAACAGGAAAAAGTACAACATGGAAGGGAGAAGCAAACAACCGATGCATTTAATACTGATTTTCTGAAAAAGAAGAAAACAGGGCATGAAGTATTCCTAGACAGGAAATTATGTCCTTGGAAATCTGAATTGAATGTTACTAGAAAAAAACTTTAAAAGCTCTAACAATTATATTGTTGGAGTCTCCTTGATTCTTTCAGACGATTTGTTCTTTTCTGTAAAGAGTTCCTTTCAATCTTGTCATAATCTAAACACTGTCAACTTGATTGTCTAAGACAGATATAAGATAGACATACTTTTTTCTAAGATGGAATCTTTTTGCATCCTACTCAATTCTTGGCATACAATTGAAAGAATGTATTTAGTAGATCATGTTCACCTCCACTGAGGAGAATTAAAGACAGTGAATATTATATTTTAAATACATTTACTTTTTTTCCTCTCTAATTTTTCCAGTCGACACTTAAAGCAAACCTGAAACTCCTGACTTAAAATATATTAATGTTTTTCATCTACAAGTTTTACATAGGAACATGAAGAGCTGGAAAGTGGCAACACACTCTTCAATTTTCAAGCTCTCACCAGGTTTCAAGAGTAACTTATATGTTCAATCTGTGAAACGCTGTTTCAAGTGGGGTTGGGATTTTTTAATGAGGTCTAACTTCTATTTTGAGCCATGGAGTACAATTAAATAGTAATTTTTAAAAAAGCCAAAACAAAACAAAAGGAAACTTTTGATACAAATACACTTCACCTACCTCTACAAACTGTGTATCCACATTATTGCATTAACATGACATAAAATTACCAGCAAAACTGCTTTCCAGAAAACTGGCAGCAGGAACTGAGCTCTTAATGGAATAATCTTGCACAATGCACTGTGGACATACAATTATATATTTCAGAAAATCTGCAGCTGCACCCAAAAACTTTCAGGAATTTCTGTTCCTAATACACTGCTGTATCAATAGTTGTGCACTAACTAAAGATGAGAGAATTGAACTACAGAGACATTTTATCAGTTGTCTAAGGTTTGTAGCTTGTCTGGAAAACAGTCACTTCGGAATTACCAACCATGCTTGAAAATAAACATTCTAACTTTAAACTACATAAAGCAAACTTTAGAATGTAATTTAAGAAACTGAACTTTAGAATTTTAAACTTTAAGCAAAGTTCTTGCATTTAGAGACCCTTTGATCAAAACAAGAGAGTTCAGTAGCTGCTGGTAACAAGGGGGTAACATCCTCTCATAATCTCCTCCAGTATAGTTGCACAGAAATATTCTCACACATCCTATTGAACAAAAAACTACACTTTCAACACACCTGAGTGCATTCAGATGAAGGTATTAAATATGTTGGAGCTTTGCTCTGAATTGCCATGATAAAGCTCCAGATACCTGACTTGCCCTTCAGTATCTTCCAGTCTGGACTCTCACCATAGATACACAGTGAAATAAAAAATGAGGATTTCTATCAGGCAACAATACATTCAACCAGTGAATTTTGATGTTTGCATTATACCTGTGTGACAATCACATATTTGCTCTATTTCCTAGCTGAGAACAGCAACAGGCATAGAACAGAGAACCTCTGAAAGAGAGAAATAAATGAGTACAAGTCCCTAACGCGCCACTGTGCCTTCGGAGGGAACCACTAACAATTCTGTATTGCTGCTCAGAACAGCTCCTAAATCACAACCTCATTTTGCCTCGACAGCCAAACAAGGGATCTCAAGCTCCCAGTGGCACATTTCAGAGCTCTCCCATGAAGGCTGCCTGGGTGTTGGTGCAGTGTGAACCTGCACTGCCCTCCTGGTCACTACCTGCTCTATAATGAGACTTTCAGGCAGAAAGAGATGAAAACTGACAGCCACTTGTACACCAGAAAATAGAAACATCAAGACATTTCTGAAACCTCCTTTACCCTAAAGCAGATGCTGTCCAGTATCCTCAGCTTCCAGTCATTTCAGTGGAAACTATGGGTAATGGATACATAAGGATTTAGCTGGTGACAAATGGGAAAACAAAAAAGAAAATAGACTAAAAACCTTTGTCTTTGCTCAAAAGGAGTACAAGGATTTGCAAATTAACACTCAGTTAAATTAGTGTTCGTCAGAAACCAACAGTGTGCACAGGTGGCGAAGGAGGCCAAGGGCATCTTGTCCTGGCTGCAGCAGAGTGTGGCAGCAGGACCAGGGCAGTGCTCATACCCCTGGACTGGGCACTGGGGAGGTCCCAGCTCAGTGCTGTGCTCAGCTTTGGGCACTCCCTGCCCAAAGGCCATTGAGGCACTGGAGCGAGTCCAGCCAAGGGCAACGAGGGCAGCAAAGGGCTAGAGCACATGGGCAAGGGCTGAGGGAGTTGGGCTTGGTCAGCCTGGAGAAGAGGCTCAGGGGTGACCTCCTGGCTCTCTGCAACTCCTGCCAGGGCTGGAGAGAGGTGTGGGATGTGTGTCCTGCCAGGGCTGCAGGGAGAGGATAGAGGGAATGGCATTGAGATGAGCCAGGGCAGAGTCAGACTGGATGTGAGGAGAAATGTTTTCCCTGTTGTGGTGTTGAGGCCCTGGGATATTGCTCCAGTAGGTGGTGGAGTTACCATTCCTGGAGGTGTTTCAGAGGAGTCTGGATCTGGTGCTGGA